CAGCCACAGCATGGTAAGCTGTGTGCCGCGCTGTGCCGCGCTGTACCACGCCGTGCTATGCTGTGCCACACTGTACCACTGTGCCGTGCCGTGCCGTGCTGTGCCGTGCCAGCTCTGGGGTCGTGGTGGCAGACTGCTAAATCCAGGAGAAGTCCAGGAGTGGCCACTGGCAGTCCGGCATCTCCACCCGCGTGGTCTCGGGGTGCCCCCCTGCCCCTGGGGTGCCCAGCCCCTGCATCAGGGTGCTGCCCCCATGGGTGATGGGGAGGCATCTCCCTTCCAGGGGTTCTGGCACGACGGGTGATCCCTAGGGTCCTTTGGCACATGCCACCGCGCTGCCAGCCTTGTGGTGGGTGCCCATCCGGGTGCCGTGGGCACCAGGCACACCCCAAGGGTGACAGGCAGCGAACCCCAGAGCCACCAGCCTGGGGGTGCGGGCTGCTGGGCATGCCGGCGAGTGGGGCAACTGCCTGCACAGCAATGGGCAGGATGGGACCCAGGAGCAGGGTCTGGCCGGCTCAACCGCCTCTCCCCGCTCTGGCAGTGCCTCTCCCCGCTCTGGCAGGGCAGCCGGATCCGGGGGCAGCCCCGCTCCTTCGTGGCTCTTTCCAGCTGCCAGGGCCTGCGGTGAGTAACCCCTGCCGCCGGGCGGGCTGAAAGGGGTGGTCGGGGGGGGGTGCTGCACCCCCTGCACCCTGTCACCCCCGTCTCTCTTGGCAGCGGGGTCTTCTCAGATGGTCAAGCCACCTACCTGATCGAGCCCCGGGTGGGCGCCGAGCACGGGCAGGTGAGTGGTGGCACCGGGACCCACCATGTGCCTGCCTCAGTTTCCCCTTATGGGTCTGGCTGCAGCTGGGGTACAAGCCTTGGGGACACAGGGATGTGGCAGTCCACCCTCCACACTGTCATGTCCATGCGTGGCTGTGACACTCCTCTCCCCATGGCAGGGCCTTCAACCACACATCATCCAGCGCATCCCCAGCTGCATCCGACCGGGTGAGCCTTTGCGCGGAGCCGGCGCTTGTCCCTGAGGACCGGTGATGGTGGCGCCAGTGGCCCCGTGTCCTCTGTCCCGCCAGCTCTGTTCCTTCCCTTCAGGCTGCCTCTTCCCTGCACTGACCCAGCACCTCGCGGGCGGGTTACCAAAGCTGCGGCGGCGGCGGCAGGTTAGCAGGGACAATGGGGGAACACAGGGCAGGGGACGGGGGGACACTGGGCAAGGGACAGGGGACATGGGTCAGGGAACAAGGACTCTTGACCCCAGATGGCCTCTGGCTGCCGCTCGCCCACGGCACAGCTCTGCCCCAGGTGCAGCTGGGCTGGTTCGTGGGTGGTGGGGACGTGTTTGCAGGATGCTGCTCCCACGCGGCCTCAGGGATGCTGTGCAGCACCGGCGATGCCACAGCCAGAGGGGATCCGTCCCCGAGCCCACCCAGGTGGCTTCCCTGCTCCGTGCACCCCAAACACCCCGCGGGGTTCAGGGGCAGCCACAAAGGGGGTCAAAAAGCCCCTTCGCTGGGGCTCGGAAGGTGGATCCTGCTGGAGCCGGCTCAGCCGTGGGCTCCCGCCGGCAGGTACGCTGAGCCCAGCACACAGTTCACAGCGAGACCAAGTACATCGAGCTGGCGGTGGTGAACGACCACCAGCTGGTAAGCGCAGGGGGGTCCCGGTGCCAGCGGGGTGGGGGGTTGGGGTGGCCCCCCTGGCCCAACCTGGCCCTTGGTGCTCCCCCAGTTCCTGCAGCTCCGCAAGTCCGTGGTTCTCACCAGCAACTTCGCCAAGTCTGTGGTCAACCTGGCCGACATGGTGAGAGAGGGTTTGTCCCTGGGGGGTTTGTCCCCAGGGGGTTGGTCCCCAGTGGGCTTGTCCCTGGGAGGGGGCTTGTCCCTGGAGGAGGTTGTTCCCAGGGAGTTTGTCCCCAGCACCTGGTGGGTTTGTCCCTGGGGGGATTATCCCCGGTTCCTCTGGGGTTTGTCCCGGGGGGGCCTGAGGGTTTGTCCACAGGGGGGTTGTCCCACTGGGTTCTTTTCCCCGGCACCTGATGGTTTTGTCCCCAGGGGTTTCGTCTGCAGCACCTGGTGGGTTTGTCCCACTGGTGGTTTGTCCCCAGGGGATTGTCCGTGGGGCAGGTTGTGCCCAGCTCCTGGGGGATTTGTCCCCAGGGAGTTTGTCCCCAGGGGGTTCGTCCCTGGTGCCCGGTGGGTTTGTCCCTGGGAGGGTTGTCCCCAGGGAGTTGGTCCCCAGCACCTGGTGGGTTTGTCCTCGGGCGGGGGTTTGTCCCCAGCGCCATCCCCTCGCCCGCGCAGATCTACAAGGAGCAGCTCAACACCCGCATCGTGCTGGTGGCCATGGAGACGTGGGCCTCGGAGGACCGGATCCGGATGGGGGAAGACTCCCTGGAGACCCTGAACGAGTTCGTGAAGTACCGGCGTGAGGGGCTGGCGGAGCAGAGCGACACCGTCCACCTCTTCTCGTGAGCGCCGCGGCCGCGTCACCTCCCCAGGGCCAGGAGCTGCCATCCCCCGTCCCCACCGTCCTCTTCCTCGCAGGGGTCGGACGTTTCAGAGCAGCCGCAGCGGCACCGCCTTCGTGGGGGGCATCTGCTCGCCCGCCCGTGCCGGGGGCGTCAATGAGGTGCGTGCGGCGAGACCCGCCATGGGAGCGGGCTGGGGATGGAGGGGGGGGTCCTTCCGGTGACTCCCCCATCCCTCCTACGCAGTACGGCAACGTGGCGGCCATGGCGGTGACACTGGCGCAGACGCTGGGGCAGAACGTGGGCATGATGTGGAACAAGCACCGTGCGGCGGCAGGTACCTGCCACCCCCCCGGGAGCGGGATGGGGACGGGTGGGGGGACACCGCGGTGCCACCAAGCCAGTGGCAGGACAGCTGGCACCCCAGCCCCTCTCCTCTCCTCCCAGGGGACTGCCGGTGTCCGGACTCGTGGCTGGGCTGTATCATGGAGGACACAGGGTGGGTGCCCGCTCGGGGTGGCACTGCCACCATCCCTCACATGCCTTGTGTCACTGCGGGGGCATCGCTGAGGGTCCTGCCCCATTTTGGGTGACCAGTTGTGCCCGGTGATGCCGCCCGGGCAGCACGGGGGGGGTGACGGTGTCCCCCGCCCCGCAGGTACTACCTCCCGCGGAAGTTCTCCCGCTGCAGCATCGACGAGTACAACCAGTTCCTGCAAGACGGCGGCGGCAGCTGCCTCTTCAACAAACCCCTGAAGGTAACGGGCCCCCCCGACCACCCCGGCCCCGGGGCAGCCATTGCAGGGGGGGAGCGATGCCCTGGGGGTGGCTCCGAGGGTCCCTCGGGACTCGCTGTCTCCCCCGGCCCCTGCCACATCCAAGGTAACGGCACCGGCGTTGAACCCGGTGTCCCCAGTGGGGGACAGAGCTGGACCCTCATGCTTGATGGCGAGTGGTTTGGGGGTCCTGCTGTCCCCTGGGGACATGATGCCCTTTTTGGGGGGCTCGCGGCAGCACCCGGCTCGCGGGCCCCCCCAGCATCTCTTGCTCCCCCTCCCCTCGGTCCCGGCAGCTTCTGGACCCTCCGGAGTGCGGCAATGGCTTTGTGGAGGCGGGAGAGGAGTGCGACTGTGGCTCGCTGGCGGTGAGCGGGGAACCGGGGTCTGCTCGCCGCAGCTGTGCCGGGGCTGCTGGCATTGCCAGGTGGCTGACGTGCCATGCCGGCCACTGTCCCGGCAGGAGTGCGCAAAGAGCGGGGGCAACTGCTGCAAGAAGTGCACGCTGACCCACGACGCCATGTGCAGCGACGGGCTCTGCTGCAAAGGCTGCAAGGTGCGGAGCCGGGGGGGGCTGGATCCGGCGTCCCGCGTGGCCGGATCCTGCGAGCCACCGGGGTTCCTGTGCCGCGGGCTCCTGATGTGGCGGCTTCATCCCCTGGGTGCAGTACGAGCCGCGCGGCGTGTCCTGCCGAGAGGCCGTGAACGAGTGCGACATCCCTGAGAGCTGCACCGGCGACTCCAGCCAGGTGAGCCAGGCTGGGGGGGACACGGGGGGACGCACTGCAGGGCCACATGGCATCACCCATCCTCTTCTCGTTGTCCCCCCAGTGTCCCCCCAACCTCCACAAGCTGGACGGCTACTTCTGTGAAAACGAGCAGGTGGGTCCGGCCCGGCATGGTGGGACACGGCTGTGGGGCTCCGGCACGTCCAGCCCGGCATGGCGGGACACGGCTGTGGGGCTCCGGCACGTCCCCGTGGGGTCCAGCATCCTGGTGCTTGTGCATGCCAGCAGCTGCAACCACGGCTGAGCCACGCACACGTGCACGGGTGTGGGTTTTGGGGTGAGCTGGCTCCTGCAGTAGCCGGGGTCCCCGGGGTGTGTGAACCCTCCCTGTGCATCAGTTCGTCATCCCCACGCTGTGCAAGCCGGGGCTGTGGTCCCTGTGCCACGCGCCTTCCCCGTGTGTGTGGCCGTGGACCCCGTATCCCGCAAGTTTTCCCGTGCATCTGCAGCTGCGGTCCGCGCGCTGCTTCCTCGTGCACATGCGCCTGCAGCAATGGGCCATGCAAGCCTCCCTCGTCCACGTGCATCTGCGGCCGTGGGCTGTGCACACCTTCCCTGCACATGCATGCGTGGGGCCCCGTGCCCCGAACGCTGTCCCGTGGCTGCATGTGCACGTGGCTCCCTGGGCCACGCGAACCCACCCCCTGCCCATGCAGCCGGGGCGGTGGTCCCGGGGCTGAGCACGTGCATGGGGGGGGGCATTGTCCTTGCACCACCTCAGTGGCCATGCACACACATGTGCAAGCCCATCCCCATCCCGGTGACCCCTCTTCCTGCTCCCCAGGGACGATGCTACGGCGGGCGCTGCAAAACCAGAGACCGGCAGTGCAACGTGCTGTGGGGCCGCGGTAAGTGCCGGCCCTGGGGTGGCTTTGCTAGGGTGAGGGGGGACGGGGGTGACAAGCGGGTGACACCCGTTTTCTCCCAGGCTCGGCCGAGCGCTTCTGCTACGAGAAGCTCAACGTGGAGGGGACCGAGAGGGGCAACTGCGGGCGCGAGGGCCTGGGCTGGCTGCAGTGCAACAAGCAGTGAGTGAGCCCCGTCCCCCGTGTCCCCTCCCCGGGTGCCACCCGCCTGCCCCGGTGAAGGCACCAGTGCCTTGCAGGGACGTCCTCTGTGGCTTCCTCCTCTGCGCCAACATCTCGGGCGCACCCCGGCTGGGCGAGCTCAGTGGCGAGATCGCCGCCACCACCTTCTTCCACCAAAACCGCTACGTGGACTGCAGGTGGGTGGCACCGCCATGGGGCTGGGGATGACCCGGGGGGGGGGGGGGGGGGGGGGGGGGGCCCCGCGGTCCCAGTGTCACCCGCTGTCGCGGTCCTGGTGCAGGGGAGGCCACGTGCAGCTGGTGGATGGCTCGGACCTGAGCTACGTGGAGGACGGGACGCCCTGCGGCCCCGGCATGCTGTGTCTCGACCACAAATGCCTTCCAGCCACGGCCTTTAACTTCAGCTCCTGCCCCGGCAGTTGGGACGGGAAGATCTGCTTTGACCACGGGGTGAGGGACCCGGGGGGGACAAAGGGGACCCAGGGGAGTGTCACAGCACTGAGGGGGTGACACCGTCCCCTCGCAGGTTTGCAGCAACGAGGGCAAGTGCATCTGCCGGGCTGAGTGGACGGGGAAGGACTGCAGCGTCTACGACCCCATCCCCGAGCCAAAGCCGACGGGGGAGACAGAGCGATACAAGGGTCGGTGCACCCCGGGGGGGGGGGGGGGGCTGCTCCCTGTGTCCCTGCTGTCCCCAGTCCCCACAGGCTGGGGTGTCCTGCTTTGTCCCCAGCCAGCCCCCGGGGGTCCAGTGTCACTATCCCCCCGGTGCCACTGCTCAGCTGGGCACAGCTGGGTCTTGTCCCCCTCCCAGGTCCCCACAGCACTGGGGCTGCCCTGGGGCTGTGTCCCCATGTCCCCCCCACTGACACGTGTCCCTGTCCCCTACCCCCTGCCCCTACCCCCTGTCCCCTCTGTCACAGGTCCCAGTGGCACCAATATCATTATCGGCTCCATCGCGGGGGCCGTGCTGGTGGCTGCCATCGTCCTAGGGGGGACAGGCTGGGGATTTAAGTAAGCAGCCACCGCATGGCTCGTCCCCTTCACTGCCTGGACCGTCACTGGCCACGTCCCCCCCCATGCACCGTCACCGCACCAGCGCCAGGCCCCTGCCCTCCTAGGGACACCCTGGGCACCCCTGGGTGGGGGCACCACCAGTCCCCCCCCAGCTGGGCATCACCTGTGGTGTGGTCCCCTGGGAGCTGGGGATGCCTGGTCCCCTTGTCCCTACCTGGTCCCCTGGCCCTGCCTGCCCTGCCTGCATGTGTCATTGGGGGTTCACTGTCACCCTGACCCATTGCTCGGTCCTAGCCGTGTCTGTCCCCAAGCATGGGGTGCCAGGGGGTGTGGGGGGGGCTGTGTCGGTGGCCCATGTGTGTGTGAGTGTGTGCACGTTCCTGCTGGCACTGGGACACGTCTGCTGCCTGTGGGACCAGGGACACTGGGGTGGGGGACGATACACTGGGGGGGGGACAGCAGGGACACGGGGGTGGCACTAACGCTCCTCTCCTCTCCCCCCGCCGCCCCCCCCCCAGGC